ACCCTAACCAAGGCAAACATGAATAAACTAGCCACAACAGAAAGAACAATGGAAAGAGCAATGTTAGGTATACGACTGTCAAATAAAAAGAGGAACGACTGGGTAAGATCAAAAACAAAAGTCGAGGACATAACAACAAAAATTGCCAAACTTAAATGGAGCTTCGCGGGCCACACTGCTAGACAGAAAGACCAACGTTGGAATACTACATACAACATTGGAGACCTTACGAAAGTAAACGACCAAGAGGAAGACCACAGATGAGATGGGTTGATGACATTAGAAGAATAGCCGGAACAAATTGGAAATATGTTGCTCACGATAGAGACCGATGGAAGGAGTTGGGAGAGGCCTATGTCCAAACATGGACGATAGAAGGCTAAGAAGAAGAGGAAGACTGCTCGTTTTATATTTTTATTTTTCAAATGTTTCTAGAGACCATGAACAGTTCTGTTTGCTATTGCTATGCGTCTTTTTATTTCGTCGTTTGTCATGTTTGTTGCGTTTACTAGCTATCCAAGATATGTGAATTCTTTACTTGCTTAAAGGTATGTTTATTAATTTGAATTCTCTGTTGCATATTTCGAGGGTTTTTAGAAACCAATATATATTTGGTTTTTTCCTCGTCTACCACAAGTCCTAATTCATTTGCACGTCCGCAAGCCTTGTAAAATACTGCACCATATCTTTCATACTTCTGCCTACTATAACTGTATCGTCAGCGAATGTGAGAATTTGCGTCGATCTATTAAAGATAGTTCCATTCATTCTAATATTTAATTGTCTGATTGCCTTTTCCAAGGCAGCATTCAAGAGAAGACACGCCAGCGCGTCCCCCTTTCCTAGATCATTATTAATGTCAAGGAATGTTTTCTCAAGTTTTCTCCTTCAATTCTAACGACGTTTTGCATTTTTAGTTGGGTCAACTTAACTAATTTAGATGGGATCCCAAAGTCTATCATTGCATTATATAATGCAGTTCTTTTCACACTGTCATAGGCTGTTTTGAAGTCGACGAAGAGATGCTGTGTATCTATGTTACATTCTATTGACGTTTCTAAAATCTGCTTGTGCTTGAATTGTATGTGCAGTTGACTTTCCAGCAGTAAATCCGCATTGATATTGACCAACAATATCCTTTGTAAAATGTTTGTCTTTCAAACAATACATTGCCGAAGATTTTATACGCAGATGCTAACAGAGTAATACCTCTACAGTTCTTACACTCCATTTGATCATTGTTTTTATGCAACGGACACCTTTTGTTGTGGTGAAGTCTTCTATGATTCTTGTTCCAATTTTAATTGACATTTTATTTTCTTTAGACAAACTTTTGTAGCTTCTATGATTTCGTCTGTATTTCTAATTTGTACATTGCCTCCCATAGTTATGGCCTTGGTACAGAGTGATATGCCTTATCTCTATTTTTTGCTTTTTTCTTTTCCAACAGGTGTTCCAGTGTTTATATATAGTCTATGCATGATTTTTATGCCGTGAAGCCTGCTGATCCTCCCCGATTTTGCCTTTTAACGTTTGATCTATCTTTTCTCGTAGTATCTTCCCATATAATCTTCCTATTGATGATATTACGCTTATTCCTCTGTAGTTTTCGCACCGTTTTCTATCTCCTTTCTTAAATATAGATGTCATATATGCCTCCGTCCATTCCATAGGGAGCTGTTCTCCATTTATGGTTTTCTGAAATATCCATTTTATCATCCGGTGTAATTTTTTTGAGCCGTACTTTATAAGCTCAGGCGAGATGTCTCAGTTTAGTTAATACAATACCCAAATTATCTGAGGAAAAGCTAAATACATATACTCAAATTAGGAAGTAGGAAAAGCATTCTTTTGGATGACGAGACAGGAGTATTTTACGTCGGAGCATTCTTCGGAGTGGAATTCCAACAGTGAAAAAAATCTCAGAGCTCGAAAATGATGACTCCTTACCAAGATATCTCATAGAGTCTTAATCAGGACCATGTGCGAAATGAACTTTCGATATGTAAAACGCAACAGAAAAAGTATGCTATTAGAAAAAATGAAATTATTGTGTGGAGAAGAAATATTAAGAAGAAATACGCAAATTCGCAGCACTGGGCGCAAAATATATTATTTGGATGAAACCTGGATTAACGAAGGTCATACAGTTGCAAGATTTAAATGTCAAAAGTAAACTCGAAGCATTTATAGAAGGCTGGTCTACGGATTAAAAGCTCAGTCAGAAAAGGGACACGTTTAATCAACACCCATATAGGAAGTGATACAGGGTTCCTTGATGATGGTTTGCTTCAATTTGAGTTGAAAAAAATGTGATTATCATGAAGAAATGACTTCCGAAGTATTTGAGCGCTGGTTTAAGAGAATCTTACCAAAATTGGAACCTTGGTCTGTGGTTGTTATGGACAATGCGCCATATCATAGCCGCAGACTAAAACAATTACCGACGACGGCATGGCGGAAAGGGAGAATTCGAAGAATGGCTTACAGAAAAGGGGATTGCATACAAAGAATCAATGCTCAAAATTCAGCTACTTGACATTGCACGGTTAAGGAAAAGTGAATATCTTAAATATGCTGTGGATGAAACTGCAAAAGATTATGGCGTCAAAGTTCTGCGTCTACCACCTTATCATTGCGAACTTAATCCCATTGAACTTATCTGGGCGCAAGTGAAAGGAGAAGTAGCACGCAATAACAAAACGTTCAAATTAAACGAAGTTAAGGGACTTTTAATTCAAGCAATCCTCCATGTAACTCCAGAGAAATGGGCTAAATGTATAGGCCACATAATTAAAGAAGAACATCGTATGTGGGAACTTGACACTTATATCGAAGTTTTACTAGAGCCAATTATAATTACACCAAGTGAATATAATGACAGCGATAGCAGCACTGCATCTTCAGATTTAGACAGCGAATAATATTTTCTGATAGTTTAGTAAGAACATCAGCATAAAAAAATCCAAAAACAAAAAAAAACCAGAAGAACATAGTAAGTGTGTATAGTGATTGTGTTTAAATAGAATAATACAATGTTTTGTTACAATAAAAATTATTTTTATTTTGCTTTTATAGGATTTTATTTTGTTTTGTTTTATACTGTTTAAGTGTTTTGCTCATTTTATTTTATGGTTCTTGGCGAACACCCATTTAAGAAAAATAACGCGCCACAAGACATACCTCTGGGGTGGTGTGGAAACTGTCTTCAAATTTGTTTTAAAAAAATTTCATTGTGTAACTCTTTAAGGACGGGTCGCGTCAAAAGACGATTTAGCGTAACTTCCTCGACAGCCGGGTAGCATCAGTAAGCTTTCTGCAAAATTACTTGTTTTGTATTACTTTTTGTTTGTGGTATTCTGTATTTTTAGGGGAATGTAGGGAATGAGCCACAAAATATTTATTCATATGTTTATTTACTGACGTTTCGATCTCTATATCTAGAGACAGTTTTCAATTATACAAATATTTATTCAAATGTTTAATTTACGAACGTATCGATCTCTATAAAGAGACCGTTTTCAAACATAAAAATGACAGATATATTTATTTTTCTATAGCTTTGTGTTTGTGGCATTCTGTAGTTTAAGGCATTCTGGAATTATCTGTATTCATATAAGGTTGGAAATAAACCACAATATATCTATTTACGTGTTTAATACACAGACGTTTTGATCTCTATTCCAGAGACCGTTTTTAAAGATAGAAAAAAAAAAGAAAATAAATAATATAAGATTATAAAAATATATAATAATAAACAAATAAAATAAATATAATTATCATTTATATTTTTAAAAGCGGTCTTTGTAAATAAATATATTATGGCCTATTTCGAAAAATAATATTTGAAAAATATAATATAATTAACGTTAAAAAAAGTGAGTGTACGCCACTGGATTTTCATACGTCTTTCTCCACTTCTTCGCCTTTAAACGATGAATCACTCTCCCAAATAATGGAATTATAGCATAGTAGGAATTGATACTGAAGGCTAACCTTTTCGTTTTTCGAATTTCCTTACCAAGCTTTACCAAGGTTTTGGAGCTTTTGTGTAGACAAAACTTTCTTTTTAAATAAATCTGGTCACCATTTTTTAAAAACAGCTACAAACATCTACGTGAGTAACATATTTGACGTCATATTCATTATGAGTAGACCGTTATTCTGTGGGTAGGCCACAAATCGCCGATTATTTTGAAAATGAGTTATCTCTAGGAGATGACTCGTTTTCAAACTGAACTTGTTTGTAGCGTATGTTGTATTTATGGTAATAATATTGAAAGTTGACTCGTTTTTGTATGGAATAGAAGCGTCTAGATAGATTAAATACAAATTTACCAGAAAATGGAAATGTCAAAAAAGTGGAGATGACCCCTTTTCATAATGACCGATTCAATTATTCACCAGCTTTTTCTCTAGGAACACTATATATATTTATCATAATGAAAATTATTAAGGTCTAAGAAATAAATTATCTCCGATTCTTAGATTCGTAGATATTTACTTTTTTCTAAAACCTTTTTAACTTTTTAGAAAAACCGAAATAAATCAAAACAGACTATACTTAGGTATATGATACCCTAATAAAAGTATAGCTTATTTTTTAAGAAAAATTCAAAAATGTCATCAAATATAGGGTGTCTCAAAAAAAATTTAACATTGATATACTACACTTTTTAGGAGCATCCTGTATAATTCATATTATTTTTAAATTGTAGTGTTAATGGCCCTGCATACTTCCCTGAGGAAAATCACTTTGGATATTAAATCGTTTTCAGTACAGAGGCGTATAGGTTGGGCCACCCTGTATACGTAATTAATTCCATTCATTACTGACGTGCTTTTACAAATCAACTCTGCCAACACTTCAAAATTCGACATATATAATATAAAACGTAAACCATATCGGAAGATATCGATCAGAGCTCGTCCTATCTGTTTTTCTATTGAAAAAATTGCCTTTATCTTATCGCCATTCTTTCTTTATGCCATTAGAAGCAAAAAATTTGTGAACATGGTGGCCAGGCCGAAAATCGGCTGCTGCAGACACTTAATTTTTGATAGGTTAATGTAGTGAATTTGAACAATTTCTAATTTTTTGTTATGTGTTTTCAACACAGCAGCGATTTCGTCAAGGGGATTATCGTCGCATTATGGACCATTGTAAGTAAATTTTTTGTTGTAGGGGATTAATTGATATTTTTGTTTACTTTTTTATCAGTCATAACTCGGTTATTTCAACGAAAATATTACTATAAAAGATTGTCTGCGATAAGGAAATGTATATTCCAAATTTAACTGGTTTCTTTCTAAGCGGAAATTGTACGTCAGCCTCTCGTATAAACAAAATGTTGCTTAAAGTAGATAGGAATAATCAGCACTACAAAACTTGCAAGATAATGATGTACTAATATATTGTGACAGTAAGTTCGCAATTTTGTTTGTGCGTATATCTATTAGCTCTAATAGCATAGGTCCATGTCCTGATGTAGTTATAATCTATACTTTAAAACTTAATTCGATATTTAATTTGCTACAGACTGTCCAAGTTCTTTATCCAAGTAAATCATCTCTTAACCCCAACTTATTCCTAATTGGACTTTCTTCTTCATCTACTTTTTTCTCTCTATCAACAATTCTGCTTATTCATTGGCGGATTGATTACATTTTCTCTTCCTGATATTTTCACTCCTCTGATGGCCTTTGAAGCATATTTTTAGTCATTCTTATTCATTTATTTACTTATTAATAAAGTCCATTTTTCCGATCCTTTGCTTTCTCTTTCCAAGTTCTCACGCCTATTTCTGACAAGTCTTGCTTTACTGCTTCCAACCATTTCTTCTTTGGACGTCCTCTTCTTTTTTCCCCATTTCTCCCTCCTTCAGTATTGTTTTAACATTTCGATTATCTGGCATTCGTATAATGTGACAAGCCATCTAGCTCTTTAGGCTCGTATTTTTGCCGAAATTGCTGGTTTTCCATACAGCCTGATTATTTCTTTATTTAGTTCGTCTTCTCCAAATATTCTCTGCCGTCTTTATCCCTCCGAAGATTTTTCTAGAACCTTTTTTTTCCCAGATCTTTACTTTCTTTTCTTCCTGCTGGTTCATAATCCACGTTTCATGGCATACATCACTGTGGGTCTGATTACTGTCTCGTAGACTCGAAGTTTAGCTGTTCTTGACACATTTTTTGCTCTCAGTAATGAATTTAGTGACCTATCGCTCTGATTCCCTTCATTAATCTTTTGTCTATCTCTTTTTCTTCTTTTCCCGTGTACATCGTGGTTACTCCTAAGTATTCAAATTCTGACACTTTTTAAAAACTATAGACAGTCTCTGCTCCTTTCATTTTTATGTATTGCGTTTTTGTTTGGTTTATTATTAATCGGTATCTTTTCGCTTCTTCTTCAAATTTCTGGAAAACTTCATTGATAGCGGATCCCCATATTTTAAACTTCTATTTACTGCGAACTGTCTTGAAAAGCATCCTTCCATTGTTACCCTATTTTTTCGTGTTCCTAAGCGTCATTCTCACTAGCCTAATAAGTTTTCTGGTATTTCTAATGTTCTCATGACCTCATATATACCATCGTTCAATTTAGGGAGTCATATGCTTGTTTAAAATCGATAAATATTATGTAATCCTAAGTTTGTTGGTAGCTATTATTTCGTATTAATTTTAACATATCTATTTGATCAGTAGTTGTTCTTCCTGGTCTAAACCTCCCTGTTAGTCCCCAATCACTTTGTTGTCATATTTTATTAATCTTTTCCTAATAATTTTTGCAAGTATTTTATAGACTATTTCTAATAGTGCTATACTTCTACAGTTTTTTGCACTTCGTTTTGTCTACTGCAAACTGGCACTGTTTGATAGATAGGACAAATAAGAGCGGTATTCCATTGCTTCGGTATTTCTTTCTCTTGTCAAGTGTCAAGTGAAATATCTTTCCTTCAATCTTTCGCCACCTTCCTTAAAAATCTTAGCTGGGATACCACTTCCTCCTGCAACTTTAGTAATTTTTTAGGTCTCTTATCATTTCTTTGACTTCATTCAAAGTTGGTTTCTCGCAATTCCCTTCTTCATCTTATTGCCAATTCTCATTTCCCTCAAGTTCCTCTTGTTAGTCTTATTTAATAGATCTTCGAAATATTCCGCCCATCTGTTTAATTTTTCTGTTGTTTCACCTAGAAGTAAGCCTTCTTTGTTTATGCAGTACTGTGGATTATTCTTTGTAGTTTCTCTGGATTTCTTAACTTCAAGTAACTAAGTAGAAATGTTTTGCCTCTTTGTTTATGTAGGCTTCTTTTGTATTTTTAATTGCTTTTCTGGCTGTTCCCTTTTCTTTTTTTTGCAAATTATTTTCACTTCCCTTCTTCTTGCCACATAGTTTTCGATCGCATTTCGCATTTTAGGTATTTTCTTTATCTATTTAAAGTATGGTGCCAGTTATTTGTTTTTTGCACTGAATCTTTCATTCCCCCTCTCAGGACTCCATTGTTGGACTATGTAGTCTCTAAGTGTTTTATTTCCATTACTTCTTCAATATTACCGCCTTCGTTTCTAATTTACATCTCATTTTTTCTGTATGGATTACTATTGTAGTTTTTTTTTTATTCTTGATGACTTCATTCATGATTAAATTGTATAGTATAGGACTTAACGAATCTTCTTTTCTTATTTCGTTGCCCATATCTATATGTTTTGTAAGTTGTCTTGATATCTTGTTATTTTGGTAAATCTTTTGTAATAGTTTTTACATCTCAGGATAAATTGTTCTGTGGAATGATTTTTTTAAGTCTATCAGACAGAAACGCGGGTTCATTATGGTCTAAAAGATTTCGCGGTAATGGACCGCAGGAGTGTGACGTCACGACTGTCACATTGACATTATTACCAAAGAATATAGAACGCTGTCTTAGAAGGACCAGTTCAAAATGGACGATTTGGTTAGGGTTTACACTATAAAACACATCTGGCAGTTGGCTTACAACTATTCTCATAAAAGGATGTACTTAGGGGAAAGTGGGCAAGTGAAGTAACGAACGCGAGAGCTATTTTTATTTCACTTTGCATCTACGATTTAAAAAAATCCCATGCTTTTTTTGGTTTTTTTTTGTACAATAAAATCTTTATGTTTCAATATATTAAAATTGTTAAATTTTGAATTTTGAAATTTAAAAAGGTATCGATATTTTTACAATATTTCAAGAGGCATTTATTTGTGTACATTTTATTAACTTTGAATTGAAAATAGGTTTTGTTCCATACACAACGAAAAACCGTCCACATAAATTTTTATTATTACTGTTTTTCTGCCCAAAAATTTGATTTCTCAGGACTTTTCCATTAACTTTTTAGACATGTTTCCATTATTCTGCAGAAAAAACAGTGTTGTGTTTTACATTGTATTGTTACTTTTATATTAAAAACACAAGAAGAAATTATTATATTTAGAAATTTGGCAGATATTTTATTTCCGGTGATTGATGACTTTATGTGGGTGAATTAATTTTATAGTTAATAAAAAGAGAGTTACATCTTATTAACTCTTATAATATGTATTTGTAGAATTTGTACCTATTTAAATTAACAAAATTCGAAATCATGAATTTTTTTTCTAATATGATTCATTTATTAAATGTTTAAAATATTTCTTATAAAACGCAAAAATTTATATCCTATTCTACGGCCGCAACGCGCCATTATGTGTTCGTAGTTCTCTGGCATTATAACTATAAAAATACTGTTGCATTTGTTGCCTCCACTCTTTCATATTTTAAAAGCAAATATAGGCGTTGACATGACCGCTTCCTTCTCGATCCACCCTCGTTCATTTCTTTTTCATAACGTGCGATCATCCTTTTTGCAAACTTTCCAAACATAACAGTGGAAAGATTCTTCTATACAGCGTCTATATTCTTTGTTATTACTTTCCAAACAAAAAGTTAAAATGTCCTATCTCAAGACTTTTTACATTTCTATATAGGTCGACACATTTTGCTTCTTCTGCTGCTTTTTCTTGTAAGCATAGAGTTTTTTTAACAATACCATCATAATTCAGAGTTTCTATGTCCTATGAAATTTTAGTCTGTTTAATACGTTTAAATTAATGAAATTCTAACCTTACTTTATTGTTTCATGCGATTTTTATTGCTACTTAGCATTAAAACAATGGTGCTTTATTATTTACACACTCTTGTAAAATTGTGTGTAGTAACTATTCGAATACTGTAAGTATAGCAAAAAGTCGGAAAGATTCCATAAAATAAATGAAAAAAAATTATACGGAAAAATATAAATTATCCACACGTAAGGGTTTGTTTGGAAAGAGTGAAACTGATAAACTGTCAATAACACCTACGTCATCACATCCTGTGGTCCATTTTCCGCGAAATCTATCTTTTCCTTTAGGGTAAATCCGACAGAAATGACTCACATTTTTTTGACTGTCTTGAATATTAGCGCAAAAAAGTCTACACTCTGAAACATTTATATCTTTGTATTAAAATACCATTTAGAACAAAGTGTACAGAGTTGGTTAACTTAATTACTTACAGACAAAAACAGTAAACATCAAAACAGAAACAAAATGTACAAAGGCCAACTTCACCCGATGTTACCAGGGTAAGAATATTGGGATAATAGCAGGGTGATATGGTCGTCGATCGTAAACTTTATTTGGGTACGTTTTTTAGGGCATACGTGATTCTGAAGATTATCTAAAATTTTTCAGAAAGAGTTTGAGTAACACATTTTTTGTAAATTTTATAAATTAATTGGGTAACTCTAGTACGACGGCATTTTGAAAACAGAATCTGTATATTTATACGTTATTCGTAAAAAATAGTATAAAAACAAAATCATCTTAATAAAACCTTTCCAAATAGTAACAAAAACGCAGACAAAGCAACAGATTTCCTAGCTCAATTTGGTAATTATTGACAATATTTATTAGAACTTGTAGATATCGAATCAAAATAAACAATATCAGTGTGACGATCATTTCCATTATTAATATATTTGTGTTAATTACAGATCCAAACATGTTTCCACGTCATGTTTGTTTTGTGTGGGTACTATAGTTGCCGCTTCAAACCCAGCCAGTCTTTGCTAGTCATTTTCTATATTACTTATTTTTACAGTAAGTATTTTATTTATTATAAATAATTTATATATACCGTGCGTGTTTAAAATAATGGAACTGCTTATTACTGCTTAAGTATCTAAATCGATGAATTGTTTGCTAATGTAAGTCCATTTCAAAAGGTAGAACAGAAAACAGAAAAGTCTTTCTAATGTGTATATATATATATTATATTATATATATATATATATATATATATATATATATATATATATAATATATTATATGGATCCACTCAGACGAGTGGTGGGTTCTTATATCGGTCTCTAGGTGGAGAAATAAAAGACAAAGTTGATAGGCTACTTTATCTATTTTGAAGACGCTTCGCTTTCGAGTTTTGAAAGCATCATCAGTTCATCTTAAAAAGACATGTAGCAGTTCAATGTTATTAACAATAATGTGAATGAACTAAGTAAATGACATAATACGCTGATTTTGTATAAACAATTAAGTAACTAACAACATATATTGAACTTATAAAATTAGCACAGCAAATGACCATATGGTCTAAAGTAAATTAAATGTTATTTAATGTTATTAGTGAGCAAGAACAAGAAAATCATAGATAACTTCCAACTATTTTTTAGTGTTCTTCCAAATTTTTATGAGTTTATCTTTTCCCGCTCTTGCCTTGTGATGCGTAAACTGATCTCGTCCTTCGCTTTCTCACTGTTAGTATAGCGGAGCCTACGTAATTAAATTGTCATGACCACCTCGTAACTTGCCATGTTTCTTATTTCTGCTTGGTTGTTTCTGATTCTATCGATGATCATCACTTTGGTTTTCTGCATATTATTTTCAAATCATATTTCATACTCACCGTGCCTAGCCTATTTATTATTTGTTTCAGTTCTTTTGTGATGACGCCAATATAACGTGCCATCAGCATAACGTAGGTTTTTGATTTTTTTCCTCAAAAACTTGACGCCATAATATGATCATGTGTATATTGAATAGAATAAAGGATATTAATGCATCCTGTCGAACTCAAGATTTAAATTTAAAGTTTTTCGAACCACATTATAACTCTTAATTAGCAGTAATAATTTACATATTATAGCAGCTTATTTTTGCAACTATAACTTATTTTTTTTCTGTATTAATGTCTACGTCATTGTTAGAAAATGGTACTTAATTGACAAGTCCGGTGTGGTTTCTTATTTCTTAACTTCTATTTTCTCTCGATAGAAAGATTATTTCATAAAAGACAACATCCCAGTTTTTCTTATAAAGTAGGCTGGGTTGTTACACAATAGAAACTAACTTCTTTGTTAAGAGGAAGAGTTTCTATTTAACTAACTAAAGGTAATAAAGGGCGAGGAACATATGGTGAGCTATTTAGTTGTTGTGAACAGGCATGACAAATCGCTCGTTCTTCTTCTTCATGTACCATGTCCTTTCAGAACGTTGGATACCATCATAGCATCTATCTTAATTTTATTTACTGCCACCTAAATAGCATGCTTGTATCAACACCATACCAATCTCGCAAGTTCTTCAACCATGGGTTCTTCTTCGTCCTGGATTGCGTTTGCCTGCTATTTTTCCTTACATGATATTTTGTAGCAACCTATATTTGGGACCTCTCATTACATGTCCGAAATACTCCAGCTTTCTCTGCTTGATGCTTTTTAAGATCTCAGTAGTCTTACTGAGACGTTCTAGTATTGTGAAGTTTCGAATCTTCTCCACCCAGGAAAACTTTTAAAATTCTTCTATTAGCACCACATTTTGTAAGCCTCAAGGCGATTTAGATCTATTTTATTCACAGTCCAGCACTCGACACCATAAAGTAGGACCGAGAACACGTAGCAGCGAAGAAGACGGATCTTAATGCCATTTTAGGTCATCTGTTACCTAACCCTTGGACATCCTTCTAAAAGCAGCTCTAGCTGCTCTATCCTGGATCTAATTTCGCCGTGATTTTTCTGCGTTACATTTTAATTGCTGTCCAAGGTAAACGATTTTATCAACTTGCTCACGTTTGGTATTATTTACATTTAAGACGGTTTTATATGCTGTTGTTTACTTATTACGAGATTTTGGTTTTCCGTATGTTAAGATCCAGACCTGCCTCCTACAACTCTCCACGACACTATCAAGTAGTGTTTGCTCGTTATGGGCTATTTTTAAGGCTTCTATAATCAGTTTAGATTCTAACTCGATGGGGTATAGCAAAGTATATACCATAGATGGCGTAAAACTAATTTTCGAAGAGGAATAATTAAGGCAATTTTTATTGCTCCTAGATTAAAAGCAATACACACGTTATAATACAAGAATTTTCATACACATCTAAGTACTACAATTTTAATTATTTAATTATAGTGTTCTTTAGTAAGTTATGATTGGTTGAGTAGCAAATAACAATGCAAATAAAAAAGCCAATACTTAAAACATTTGTACCCATTTTATAAATTGATTTAAGGTTATGTATTTTTTAGATTACGATAAGTGTGGTCATGTGTACCTCGACTCAGACACGAGCGTTAACCATTTTCATAATGATTCAAGACTGATAGATTTAGATACAGATCCAAAGCCAGATGAAGACGATCTCTATAGAATACTTTATACGATTTTAGAAAAAGGAAATTTTCCCGCACAATCCACAACTTACCTAAGGACACAATTCTATCTATTTTTATACATATTCATTGACGGATTTTGGATGATTAGTACCTTTATACTTTTTGGTAAGTATCTTCTTTTGTTTGTAGTACATATTCACAGAACATAACTTCTTCATTACTAACTTTGTCTGATCAAAGATCCTTAATGTTATTTTGAAGTTGTTTTCTTATAAAATCATTTTAATATTATTTTCCATAGGGGATATATCTAACTCAGGAATAGCAAACCTGCTCACGCGAGCTCTTGGATTTCGCCAACCACTCATCCCCAGGGAAAGTCTGCCACTGTTTCTACGAATGCTTCTTCTACGTATTAATTAAACAACATTGTAGAAAGTATACAACCTTGCCTTACTCCCTTTCTTATTAAAATTCTTTCGTTTCGTTGAAATATTTGAAGGAGTACTGTTGCTGTCTTGTTCCAATACAGATTGACGATAACTCTTTTGTCCTTGGCGTCCAATCCCAACTCTTGTAGACATTTTATCATTAGTTCGTGTTTTGCCATAAGTACTCAAGATTACTTCTCTGGTGCCAAATCTATTTTGAAAACCAAACTAACTCCAGCCACCGACCTCTTTATATTTCTTAAATAATCTTGTGTAGTATTCTCCAGAAAAGTTTTAAAAGTGCGTCATTAGGCTTATTCCGGTGGTTCTTGCAGAATTTTGCACGTGGTGTTTTGAATAGAGCGATAAATGTAGAGCGAAGCCAATCTTTTGGAACTGGACCAGTATCGTAGATATTGTTAAAGAGTCTAGATTTTCTTCACTAAGTAACTTGATTTTTTCTGCATACATATCATCTAGTCTTGGGACTTCGTTACTTTTTAATAGTTTGATACCGTCCCACATAATAATTCCATGTTCTTCACACACAATCTTCACGCTAACCCCCACCCAAACCACGTCACCATCGACGGAATAAATGAACTGTCCTCTGTTCCCAGTAGCAGTAGTCCATTGGTTAGTAACCAGTGTAGTAGTGCCTGGGGGCTCGAGAGACTGGGTCCTCGGAAGGCTTGAAGAAGACATCAAAGAGGATGTCGAAAGCTCAGCGCAATGATAATCGACGCGATTTAACCTGGAAGACTGTTGAGTTTAATATTTATTCTTTATAGTATTAATCTTAGCTCCAGGTTTAAATTTATTGTACTAACCGCGGAAATCTTTCGCAACATGAATTATGAAATGATTATACTTTCAATCACGTGCCCGCAAACAAAATACTTATTTTTTCCATTGATACTTTTAATCCTTTTATTCTCTTGTATAACAAATGTCAATAACTTTGCTAGAATAACTATAAACAACAACATTAAAACAATTTATTTTTACAAAACTATAAATTTTTTTAAAAATATCTTTTCCATAAAGATGTTCTAGACCAGTGAGGTTCAACCTTTTAGACTTTGCGGGCCGTATAGATTTGAAATTATTATGAAGGCCAGAGTTTTATGTTTAAATTTACATGTTAATTCAAATTAAACATAAAAGAAAAAAAAATTAATGAGATATTTGAGGCAACGGTTTATCCTCTACTAAACTTTGCAAATGTATATCTAGGCTAGTCGTAGTGAGTCTAATACACACTTTCAGAGAATCGTTTTCCATGCGATTACGTGTTTTAGATTTAATATGCTTGTTGGAGAACTATATCTCCAACCAAATATATCCAAACAAATAATTCTATTTCGTATCAATAAATATTTTCGCGCCGGTTACCTAAATAAATCCAGTCTACATAGACTTGTTTTCTGAGAATGTTAATCCCGCCCCCAGCGCCTACTTGACCATAAGCCGCTTTACAAAATGCACAAAACAAAAAAAATATTCCAGCAGGGCTAAGGGGTCGACCAGTCGACACCGACAGTGATTTAGCGACTTTCGTAGGGCTAACATCTACATTTCAAAGTTCGGAGAGGATTCTCCACGTTGCAAGTTACGCAATTAGCCGGGAAGCCGTAATATGTGAATAAGTGTTATGGTGTTTTCGCTTTCGTTCGTAAATTGTAATATTCAAATTAAAGTTCCTACGATAAGTTATACACTCAAATTTTTATAAGCTCTATTTTTTGCCCTTTCTTTTTCAATTACAGTTTCTTTCTAAACAAGAAATTGTTTTAATTTCACTATATCAATTCAACAGGCCAGATCAAAGCACCTTTGAAAGTTAATTAAAGGTTTCTCTACTGAGCTGTCGAAGGCTAGCGGACTAATTGGACTTACAGCAAGAACAAAACCGCTGAAAGAGACACTGTTTGCATACAAGCCTCTCCATGGAAGGGATGTTGTAAACCGGCACCCCTCCAATGCTTCAAAGCAGACAAATGTTCTTTCACATATATACTTATAACCAAACATTGAATATAGTTTCAACGCAAAGTTACGAAGTTTAGGAAAACGATCCTTGGAGACTAACTTCCAAAAGGTACTAATGTCTTCATTTTTCTTTGCTTGAAAAAACGAATCGGACTGTAGTTTGCACAGCTCTAATTGGTTATTCTGCTGATTGGTTTCTGGATGATGACTATTCATTGGATTGTTAAAAATATCAAGATCGGGTTTTTAGTGCATCAAATTCCGAAAAACCTTTATCGAATTCTCTTTGTATTTCTGTAAGAACTTTGGCAAACCTCGAGAAATCGACCATGATTTCTTCTTGATTTATTTCGAAACACGCAGGAAAAGTGTGAGGTCGTTTATTTTCATGCAGTTTTCGAAAAGATCAAGTTTTTTGCGAAATGTCTCAATTTGACTAACCAACTGTGATATTGTCTTATTTTCCCCTGGAGATTGTAGGTTTAATGTTTTCAAGTGAGAGGTAATGTCTGTTAGAAATGCCAGTTCATGAAGCAATGTTTTTGTTCGTAAGCTTTGCTCTAAATACGTCAATGTTAATAACAATTTCCGGTTCAAAAAACAGGAAGACCTCTTTTCTTAAAGAAAAAATGTTCTTTATATATTCAGTAATTTAATTTCTCCAAGAAAGAGATGAATATTCGGTGTCGTTGAGCTCTGTTTCCTCCCTTTTAAGCTCGTTTACTATCTGCACTACAATTTTCATAATCGTTGATTTTAATTATTCTTTCCGCAGAAAGCCTCTTGATAGATAATGCAATGAAACATAACACAGTTAACACCCATTTTCCCGCAAAAGTCCAGCCAATCCCGTTAGCGTCTCGTCATTGCTTTTGCTCCATCGGTGCAAACGCAAGAGCACTTTTGAAAACCGCCTATATTTTCTACAGCGTCAATAACTGCTTCAAATATATTTATTGAATTGAAAAAGACTGTAAGACTTGTACACACTTCTAAATAGGTCTAGACTGGTAAGCAGGTTTTGTAGGTTTTCAATAAAATTGGATAGTGTGTAAAATAATTTATTAATTAAGCTGAGTATACTCTTCGACATAATAAATGTCCTCATCAGAGCATCCTAAAATAACGTTAAGTTATTTTTTTATAAAATACAACGACAGAAATAACTTACGTCAATTAGGCAATAAATACTTCATAGAAGGAAAATTGTGGACAAACAACATATTAAAAACAAAGATCGGGCTCTCTAGGCCACAGATCTTGGGTCTAACCCTTATACATATGTATAATTCACATCAACTACTTAAAATAGAAAACATGGTTACCACATACAGTGACGACAACAGCTGTTTTTGACTTACATTTTTGAAAGTAGTATGAAGGAGGAAAGCTCGAATATACGGAAATAAATCCGAGAGCGACCCCTGTATTTAAAATTATTAATTGAAAATTGAAAATGTCTAAACTGACGTCTGAAGGTTATTGATTATTACTTTTAGTTACTATGAATTAAAATTTAAATATTTTTTAAATTAATAAGTCAAACGTGAAAATTTAAAATATACATTTTTCAAAATATCAAAAAACAAAACTTTTTAAAGTTTGGACCAAGTAGAAGAAAGTAGATGAAAAATGAACCAAGGAGAAGTATCATTTGCTAAGTTAAGAGTTCAATAGCTATAATTGATTATCAATATTATTAATAAAATAAATAAAGAAGAAGAAAAATATCAAACATTTTTTTACTTAGATGAAATCAATAAAAGAAAAATTGAAGAAATTAAAAAAAAAAAATTTTAAATAAAGGTCAAAGCTTGATCAATCTGATGGTTAGTTGTATACTAAATGTATTAATTAAAGAAACTTCTTAAAGATTGGATCAAACTACAATTTAAGTTAATTTTAGTGTTGACACAGTTCTGAGGATTCCTTTTCCATTTCTCTACTGATTTCAAGATCTTCTAGTAAATTCATTTTTATATAAATTATTATTAGACAGATGTTCTTTAATGCCGTATATCCAAAGGTCGCATTGTTCTATCCACATAGGTCACCGGGCATTCACCACAGGATAATGTGGTGTATTACCACATTATCCTGTGGTGAATTCAGTACTTTTGATACCGCAAGTACTTGACAACAAATAATGCACTGATGTTTGCCTTTTAATTCGATGAAGAAATATTGATTTTGCCCATTTTCCTTGAAACGTACGATTCACCTCGAAATTTTTGCGTTTTTTGGCACTAACTTATTCTGAATTTAACATTCAATTTATTCGCCACTGTTAATTCAACACGATACGCGTGCAGCTGAATGAAGCTAACTGCCCGCTGATCTGGTAGTGGTTTTCAAGGTTAACTACTTTCTTAAGATTACGGAAAGTTAGACAGGGTGAGAACAGGTAAAAGTTATCACTGGCAATATTCTTATACATGTTGTTTGCGGGGGGCCTCGCAGTTTTAACAAGTTATGGGCCGCATGCGACCCCCATGCCTGAGGTTGGACCACACTGTTCTAGAGTATTTGGGATAATTACCACTTTGGGAATTTACCACTAAAAAAGGCATTTCAAATTTATTTGAAGATCGTGGCGCAATGGCTGAGAGAATTTCGTATGCGACATCCTGAAATATCCTTGAGGCAACTTGAAGCTATGTCTGCAGCTAGAGCTGTAGCATTTAATAAGCTCCAAATACAAAGTTTTTTTAATACGTTGGAAATACCTTTGAAAAAAGAGATAATTGAAGTTCATCGCATTTGTTACATGGACGAAAGTGGTTTGTCCAGTAGAGAGGCCTCCAAAAATGTTTGCACAAACTGGAATTAAAAAAAGTTGGATCGTTGACCAGCGCCGAAATAGGTCAGCATTCAACATGTGTCTGTTGCATGAATAGTATAGTTAAATTTAGTACCGCCAGCTTTGATTTTCCCTAGGAAAAATAGAAAAGAGGAACTTCTAGATGCCTTACTTCCTTCTAGTGATGTAACAAATGTCATTTTTTAAACATTCGCGAATGCGAATATTATGCCACCGACGACATTCGCGAATGCGAATATTCAGTTTTTTTTTAATTTGGCAATTTTAATTGTCTCGGTACTGCCGGCAGTCTCATTTGCGCGAGGTGTGTAGGCAATTGGAAAAAGTCTGTCATTTTTAACTGCTTTAAATTGTCCAGTATCATTCTATCATATTTGCTAAAGTAAAGATGTGAAACTTGTATTTATTGTAAAGAAGTTTATTGTAGGCGGTTAAGTTTTAAAAGGTAATTTATTTATTAGTCAACGTCCGGGCACAAAAACGTAGGAAAGCACGTTTTTCAATCTTATTTTCTCTTGTTATAATCAAATTTGACTTGTTATAGAGAGAAAGTTATAGCAGAGAACTAAGTTCTCTGGTTATAGTTCCAATAAAAATTTCACGGGATACAAGTCACTCCACTTGCCCTGCTCTGCTCGTGCACAAATACAAGGTGAATTTTTAGTTAAAGTGTGATTAGCGATTTATTACTATGAGTAAATCAAACTGTAGTGAAATATGGACTTATTTTGCACCACTTTTCGATACTGAACGAGCTAAATGCAAGCTGTGTAATATTCGCAAAACATTCGCACAAATTTTGCGAATGCGAATGCTAATGCGAATATGCAAAAATATGCGAATATTCGTTACATCACTACTTTCCTTCCTTAAGATTATTTCACGAAATGTAAGCTCCTGCGAAAATCTTGATGCTTAGTGGTGATGATTAAGTGGATTTTTAAGATAATAACATTATATATGTAATTCGAACAAGATAAATAAATATTATTTTTTATAGCTGGCATCTGCTTCAACGTAAAAAAAACTTTATCCTTATTTTTCTATGGACCATGGTTGGTGGTTTGTGGGTTCCACGTATTTCTAGACATTATTGCAGCTGTTCATTATGGTTTGGATATGTTACAGATAAAAGTAAGTACACATATTGTATAAGACTGATGGAAGGTGTAATAAAGAATACGACACTGGATTGTACCGGGTGGTCCAATAAGCCGATCTCTCGGCTATATATCAGAAACTATTCATGTTATAACTTTAGGAGAAACAATTCTTTAGTAAATGTGGCCAAGAGAAATAGCTGGAAATAACTTTTCAAGATTCTGGATTAACCGCTAGGGGGCGTAACCTGCGAAGAAACTTTTGAAAACAAGTGTTTTGGGAAATATGTCCAATTACACCAAGTGTTAAATAAGTAAACTAGAAAGAGGCATAAATTCTGCACAAAGTTGTTCAAGTACTTTTTTAAACTTTTTTCAACTAAAGGGTGGGGGGAGAGTGGGAAAGTATTTGTGGATAAATACCTATAACTTTGGTTTGGATCAACGATTTTAATGAAATTAGTGTCATTAGAAAGAGTGTGGATAAATTAATTCACATCTACTATAAAATACTTGCATTTAGTTTTTAATAGTCGTAGGTAGAGGGGACTTTCAATAAAAAAAAAATTAAAATTTGTTTTTCTTCAAAATTTATTAATGGAAACACCTACTTATTTGTAAATTATAATGGAAACTGGATTAAATTCGTAACAAAATGGAGCAAACCGCATGTTTGTTGAAAGCATAGCTTTTGTTGAACTCGAGATATGAATAAAAACTCATAAACATAAGTGAGTATAGTATTGACACACCCTGTATTATAAATTACATTAAAAAATAAGTCCGAGTAGGTATTTTCAAAATTTTTTTATAGCAGAAGAATCTTAATGTTGATACCTATATTGTAAAAAATAGTTTTTTCGAAACTAAGTAGGGCTATGACAATGAATTTGACGGGGGTTCATATTGTTTATTTATTGACAGCAGTCAAAACATTGTTAAAAAGTGCTATAATATTATAATTCGAAATAAAGATTGCACTTTTTTTCAATAGATATTAATAGAGGAAGTGGTCCGAATATGAGCCCCCCATTTGTTTTTTTTTGTATAAATTTTTGAAAGTTACGAATAAATATCCAGTAAATTACACACTCACAAGCTTAAAGGTTTACCTTATGGTATATTAAAAAGGCATTATCAAAAAAATTAAATTTAGGTGGAATTTGTGTCAACACTTAAATTATGTACAGATCTACTTTTGGATTAGACTGCGTGGAATATGGGCCCCCTAGTAAAATAATTGATAGGTATCTAACAATTTGAAAAAACATATATTTTTCAAATAAAAAAAACTGAAAATGAAAATGAAAATACATTTCAACTTAAAAACCACATATTACACGCAAAAGTCACAAATATATGCATCTTTTTCGGCACCTGAACATTGTTCGTGAGCCCATTGATTGCACATGAAGCATTGAATCCATAACTCTCCTCTCTGGTCATCGGAAAAGCGACCATCACAAAATAGGCATACTGCATCACAGCCGTCAGGAACAGATTTGCCAATTTCGTTCGATATCCATATCTTCATCGTCTGGGACAAACTCGTGACTTTCATCCTCAGAGTCGCTGACTTTATTGTCTTTTGCTTGCTGTCTTTTTTTGTTAGTTGTCTTCTTTGCTTTTGATTTGAAAAGACTTGTCGTTTGGTGCTTGCTTTCTTAGGCGTGTTGGTGCAGGATTTCTCTAACTCATCCTTGTAGGGGAAGATGGTGATCACTTGCGATTTAGTTGATTTTCTTCCCCGAGTGGTATTTTTCTTTTGTGACGGAAGGTACAGGTTGAAATGTCAAATGGTGAGACCAATTTAACGGAATTTTCCATTCCTGGAACAGATGGTCTAGAGAAATTGGAATTTGACGGCGAAGATGTTGCCTGGGATTGTAATTTAGCTGTATTCTTCCCCAAAAAAGAACATCCTGGCTGAGGTTCTGGGTACCATGCTGGGGGTTTCTGTTGTGACAGGCCGCGCTTGAGGCGAGGCTTGAGACAAAATGTTGCAGTTTTTCATCAGCCTGAATTCGTTCAGATATAAAATCTGCTTCAGAAAAAATGTGACGGTTGAACGGATATATTCCCGTCGCCCTAAAAACCACTAGCAGCTATTTCGGCACACTGTGATTTTAAAAAGGCGTATACCTAAAAGTTCTGCCAAAGTCAAACTGTGTGAGGGCTCGTTGGTTAACACGAAGCCAATTTCTAATTTCCTCACTGTAATAAGCCTTGAAACTTCCCATGAATGTTTTTATCAAGGGTTGTGATTTATGAGTTGAGTGAGGCGGCAAAGAGATAAATGGAAATATGAATTTTCACGAGCTAGTCGAAATAACTTCTAAGTTTCGTGTGTAGGCTATAATGGCCATCTAACACTAGCAGAACCTGGTCACATTCTTTTGTTGGTTTAAAACAAAATTTATGAAAATGCCTCAACCAATCGGAAAACAAATTCTGTTGCACCACACCCACTTGGATGGTACTGCGTTGAGATTGAACTGGAGGAGCCCCTCGCATCAGCTGTTTCGTTTTGCGATTTTTTCTCGGGAAAATTAACATGGGCGGTACAAATTGACCTCCAGCGCTCATTGGCAGCTATAAACGTAACTAGTGAACCCCGTTCGCTGAGGTAATTGAAGCAATTTGCCGTTTTCCTTTTCATTCCCACCACTGATGCCACCTTACTGTTGAACAACTGGTAAGCCCAGTCTCATCTACATTGTAAATTTGGTGAGGGCGAAAATTTATTTTTTGGAGTTATTCACTCTGCAAATTGTCAAAAAATTGCTCCACATTATTCCTTATTGAAGCCTAATGCTCTAGCGAAGGAAGTTCCTGTTGGTCTTCGAATAGAAAGTACATTTTTGTGACGTAGTAAAAATGCATCCAACCAGCTTCTCACCCCGCCACAACCATTTTTAAATGGATGAGCTATTCCATTACGAACAGCTAAGACATATGCCATTTTTCTAATGTCCTTTCTTGTGAGACCATAGTAAGATAGATTCCATGGACAAAACATATTGACAAGTTTCTTCCTCCAGTTCTTTTCCTAATGTTGTTCTTTCTTCCTAGTTGAGTTTTAACTACGTCACTAATATTTAAATTACCTTCCTTTTGTTTTTTTAACAGTCTTTGAAGTGTAGATCGTGGCACGCTGAACTGTTTTTGCTTGCAGTTTTTAAGACCCATTATTTGTTATTAACACTGTCCATAGCCTTAACCATATCTTCACGTCTCCATGTTTGTCTTAAGTTCTTTTGAAAAAAAACTTCGGTTTGCTTCGTGGCATAATGAACTGCAAAAAAAACACTTTATTAAGGACTTGGTCCGAATATGAGCTCTGTCCCATAATAGGACCACGGTAGGGGCCCATATTAACAACATTCCACCTGATTATTTTAAAAGCATTCAATTTTCTTCTCATTTCATTATTAGGTTAGTTTTTATGATGGAATATCAAATACTGATCACTTTTCTAACTTACTAACACATCAACTCTCCAGTTTTCAAACATAAACGTTGATAAATAGCACAAAAACACTTACCGTAAAATATTTGTTGAACTACACAAATAAACTTATGTCACCATGTTAGTACAGAGATATACACGAGAACTCTGCGTGCATAAACAGAAAAATGTTTGGGGTCTAGTAGAAGTATTTTAGTACGAAATTCATAGATGTCGCGACGTGCTCTAGTTGAAATATATTGGGGGCCCATAATAAGTGCAGGGCTCATATTCGGACCTACTTCCTCTATTGGTAATATTAGTAATTTAATTATCAGTACAAATAATTCGTGTGAGTATAATCAAATTGTATGATATGATTGGAGTTATTTCGATGTCACAAAATGCCGCTATTGCCTCACGTATATATTTTGTAACATATCCTGACAGGAGACATTATGGCAAAGAAGTATTTGAAGAAAGCAAAAATATTAAGCGAAAACTGGTAGTTTTTCTCGTCCTTGTTTTAAACGAAGTAGTAGATTATGAACCGAAGATAATTCAATCAATGTTCTTGCTTTAATTCAACAGATCCACATATAAGTAGTCCGAAATCTCTACTATCTTTGCCACAATGTCTCCTGCCAGGATTTCTTACAGAATATATACATGAGGCAATAGCGCCATTTTTGGTGATATTCGAAATAAACTCCAATCATATCATACAATTTGATATACACCATCACGAATTATTAGTACTGATAATTAATTACTAATATACCAATATTATATCTATTGAAAAAAATGCAATTTCAATTCGAATTATAATACATATAACACTTCTTAACAATATTTTTTGACTGCGTCAATAAATAAACAATATGAACTCCCTGTCAAATTCATTGTCGTAGCCTACTTAGTTTCGAAAAAACAATTTTAATCATATGAAATAACAATGGTCAAAATAGGTATCAACATTAAGAGTTTTCTGCTATAAAAAAATTTTGAAAGTACTACTGACTTATTTTTAATTTAATTTATAATACTGGGTGTGTCAATACTTATACTTACTTATGTTTATACGTTTTTATTCATATCTCGAGTTCGATAAAAGCTATTAACATGCGGTTTTGCGCCATTTTGTTACGATTTAAATCCAGTTCCGTTATAATTACAATAAATAGTGTTTCCATTAAAAATTTTGAAGAAAAACAAATTTTTAATTTTTTCTTTTCGAAAGTACTCTCTACCTACGACAATTAAAACTAAATGCAATTATTTTGTAGTAGATGTAAATTAATTCATCCATACTATTTCTAATGACACTAAATTTTGTTAAAATCGGTTGATCCAAACCAAATTAGAGGTATTTATCCACAAATACTTTCCACTCTCTCCCCCACCCTTTATTTGAAAAAATAAAAAAAAGTACTTGAACAACTTTGTGCAGAATTTAATGCCTCTTTCTAGTTTTACATTATTTAACACTTGGTATATTGGAGACATATTTCCCAAAAAACGTGGTTTTCAAAAGTTTTCTCTTCGCAGGTTACGCCCCCTAGCGGTTCATCCAGAATCTTGAAAGTTATTTCCAGCGATTTCTCTTGGCCACTTTTACTAAGGAATTTTTTCTCCTAAAGTTATAACATGAATAGTTTCTGATATATAGCCGAGAGATCGGCTTATTGGACCACCCGGTACAAGTATATTTGTTACAATGCCAGGCGTTCAGGTATTACACATGCTAATCTAACCTATCTAACCTATCTCAACTTTCGTTCGTGAGATATAGCCCATTGTAAGTTTTAAAATTGACATACTGTAGATTTCCATGTTATAGATACTTTTTTTATTATTCTTAGATTTTATAGGGTAACTTGAATTTCATTTCAAATATAATTCTGCTGCTTTCTGTAGCACTCTGTTTATAATAGGGTGCATAAATTCTTTCTTTACTAATACTCTCTTCTATTTTTTCTTTTAGAACTATACGAGTTGGTTAAAATTCATTGGGATTGAAAACTACAAGGACTTCTCCAAATTTAATAAATTTGATAGTGCTGTATATGTACCACACATCAGTTCTATAGTTATGGTGATGTTCTTTTCAAGATTTTTAATTTTCTGGTTATTAAACATCATGAATTTTTTTACCATTACCACAAATTGCGTCTTGGCCTATAAGGACCCATCAAATATCAAAAGGTCAAATGAAACTGGTAAGTGAAAATAGTCTTATGGGATTAAAAACTTTTTGACGGTTTTTTTCACGGATGGAAGTTGATAATTTTGTTGCATCTTGATTTTTGTCGATAGGACACTTAAATCGAAAAATATCGATTTTTTACCGTCGAGCCGATACAAATTTTATTCAACATTGATTTCGCGCGCGTAACTGACATGCAAAATCGACAGTCGCTTCAAGCGTTGTTTGTGAGAGAACGGTTCATTTTACACAAAAAGTGCTAATAAATATTTTTGTTTAAAATTATCTTAACTACATTTTTTATTTAAAACATTTTTTTCTACGGCCTACAGATTCTTGGTAGATCGATTTTTTTGCGTTTTTACCCCCTACGAGTAGGATTTTTAGGGGAAAGCCTGGGAGTAAAAGTGGTAAACTTTATTGCATCTTTTTTGAGGTTCCAAAATTAATAGTCTTGGCAAAATTCAGCTTGTTTGTATGATTTCTAGAGGTTCAGTGGCATTTTTGCCCTTTATCGAGTGGAGTAAATATGTTCGTATAGATTGTCTAAAAAGTGCCTAGTCTGTACAGGATAAATGCACAACATCGATGCCATACTTTTTTACACAAACTTGTATTAAAATAAACGTCACTTCTTACTACTTAAGCCTAATCCATCTTTTTGTTGAGGGTAGCTTAAGTACTAATGCCCACTAACAACCCTGTCTGGCTTTCTTTTGTCAGTGGTTCTCAAACATATAATACTATGTGGTTCAAGATAACTTGAGTTTAATTAAAATAAAATAGAAATTAAGAAATGCCTTTTATTTATGTCACACAAGCAGTTTGTTTTTAATTCGACAGTATGTGTTTGCGATACAAACCATTTGTTTATAGATTTAAATAAAATCGAATAATATAAAACTAAAATATAAAGAAACATTTTATTTATGTATTGTCCCGTTTCAAAAATTAAGGATGGAAGGACTTTTAAAAAACCGCACCGTATATGTTTAGGAGTAACAAAATGTAGAAATATCCGAAAATAAAACTAATAAGTTGAAAATAAAAGAAGTCATTGTGAAATCGTAGGATTCCACGGCCAGACTCAGAATTATAGTTTATTCATCTTCCGGGTTTGGACCGTGTCATTTGTGAGTGACATAAAAGTCGGTTCATCTCGACGTTTCGCTACAATTGTATGTAGCTTCTTCAGGAGAACAAAGAAAAAGAAATCAAAAGACAGGAAGATGGGTAGTTAGCAACGGTAAACTCAGTTACTCAACGCAACCAGAGGCGAATACTAACTACCAAGATAGGCATTTGGTCACAGTAACTCAACTACTTAACGCAGCCAGAGGTGAAAACCAAATGCCAGGACAGGGATTCACGTCCAACAGCTCAGAACACTAACGCGTCGAGAGGCGGGGAGTGAATCCGACGATTACTCCGCTACCGCTCTATTTATTAGTCGCGGTGACCTGTCGTATCGGACGTATCGGCACACTCCGTGGCGCGAACGTCAAGAAGCGCGCGCTGGCCAATCATGTGGCTGCAGGTAGCGGGACCGGATGGCGGCTCTAGACTGAGATTCCAGATGGGAGACAAGTAGTACCTTCCTCTCGATTGATATTATGTGGATTTTTTCGGATCTCTAGAGATTCGCGGATTTTCCTGGAATAAAAGAAGGGGCTGTTAGAAATAATATGGGTTTTTTCGAACAATATGGAATGACCGGTTTCTTGGCAGTGTTCTGCAAACTGCAGAATGGGAGAAAAGACCTGATCGAATGCATCTTTGATGCTCTTGAATCCGAGTTTTGACGGAACGACCAGTTTCGCCAATATACACATGTCCACATGAACAAGGAATAGAATAGACACCACAGGAAGATAGGGGCGGTAATGGGTCCTTAGGAGAGGGTAGATATTGTGAGATTTTCTTGGGTGGTCGAAAAGTGGTCCTGATACCTTCTTTTGCGAAGAAGCATCAAAGATGCATTCGATCAGGTCTTTTCTCCCATTCTGCAGTTGCAGAACACTGCCAAGGAACCGGTCATTCCATATTGTTCGAAAAAAACCCATATTATTTCTAACAGCCCCTTCTTTTATTCCAGGAAAATCCGCGAATCTCTAGAGATCCGAAAAAATCCACATTATATCAATCGAGAGGAAGGATACTACTTGTCTCCCATCAGGAATCTCAGTCTAGAGCCGCCATCGGCCACGACAGGTCACCGCGACTATAAATAGAGCGGTAGCGGAGTAATCGTCGGATTCACTCCTTGCCTCTCGACGCGTTAGTGTTCTGAGCTGTTGGACGTGAATCCCTGTCCTGGCATTTGGTTTTCACCTCTGGCTGCGTTGGAGGTCCTGGTCTCACTAATTAAGGATGCCTTTGAAAAAGGTATATTTTCAGAGTTCCTAAAGACGGCCATTATTATTCCTCTTTCAGGGTTGTGAAAAATCTAATGTCTGCAACTATATACCTATTGCCTTCCTACCGGTCCTATCCAAAATTATTGAGAGACTTATAATACCCCAACTTATGTACTTTCTCGTTGAAAACAATATTTACCAGGGATGCTATGTTTTCTATACTACATGAGGTCTTTCAAGCACTAAACAATAATCTTTACACGGCTCTATTTTTTGTGACTATGCCAAAGTTTTTGATTGTGTAAATCACGACATTTTGATAAAAAAACTAAATTTCTGCGGAATTCGAGGTATTTATTAGAATTGGTTTTCAATCGTAGTTGAGGAATAGAAAACAACTAGTTAGAGCAAATGATAATGACTCTAGTCACAAAAGCATTGTATGTGGAGTACCACAAGGTTCAGTACTGGGTCCTCTACTTTTCCTCATCTTTATGAATAACATCACCAACTTAAAAATCGATGGAAACATTTTTCTCTTTGCTAATGATACCAGTATTACCTGGAGGAACTCTAATATTGCAACTCTTCATGCAATTAGAATTTCTGATTTAAACTGGATAAGACAGTAGCATTATCCTATAAAGGAGCTCTTCAGCCCTTGTTTCTTAATAACAGCCAGATCAGTATTGTTGATTCTGTAAAATTTATTGGTATTTTTACAGACAGCAACCTTAAATGGACCCTTCATATCGATTTGTTAAGTAATAAATTTGCCTCAGCCTGCTATGCAATAGGATCTGTTTCGAAGGAAATCAATTTAGCAAATAAACATATTTTTCTTTGTTCGAGTCTCATCTTCGATATGGCCTTCCTTTTTTTGGGGTTCTAGTACAGTTTCCCAATCTGATGGTTATTTGTAAAGTACAAAAAAGTGCAGTACGGTATCATTTTGGCCTCAGTAGAATAACAATTGCAGAAGCTACTTCAAAAAATCACGGGATTCTAACTCTTCCCTCTTTATATGTTCTAGAAACTGTTTGCTTAATTTGTAAACACATACATGTTTTTTCAGCAAGACGTAATCATGACTACTCCACCAGAAATTCAAGCTTTGAATGTATATTATATTCGGCAAAAAAAATATTTTGCCCGAAGTTGCCCTTTGCAACTTCGACAAAAATTTCGAAAATTCGAAAAATTTGAATTCTAAGTTGCCCTTTGCAACTTAGAATTCATATTTTTGAAAAGGAGTTCTAATATTGTACTTTATTCTAGAATCGTTCTTCATACCTATATTTTAATAAATAGATAGGTAAATAAAAATAACCACTCAAACTTTATTTTGAAGAATTAATTAACTAAGTAAACCAAATATATTTTTTTATTTAAATTTAACAATGTTTTACAATAATCATTTGGGGTATATATAAATAGCAGGACTTTCGAAAATTATTTTATCCCATTCAAAAATTTTTGACATTTTTGACATTTTTGTACAAATTCTCCTTGCAAAGTTTAGTATCAGGATAATAGAAATACCAATAGATCGGGTATCACTTTATAACTTTAGCGACCTCTTTACAGTTTTCTTTTGCACCGGTCATGTTTGTTTATTAGTTACCTCGTAGGTAGATGGCGCAAAATGTCAGGCTAAATACTTTAATATTAGAAATAAAAATATAAATTACAGTAGACTCGCGATTATCCGAGTCTAGGTTATCCGAGCCTCGGTTTTATGTACTTTTATAGCCGTACTTGTTGAATCACAATACCGAGTAATTGATAATTAATGATGAAAAAAAAAAAGAATTTATTGAAAATTGTGGATTATTGATAAGAAGAGAATTGCGTGTCAAGCATATGCTTTAGGTCAAGCTGATGTCGAGTCGGTATTTTCAGAAATTGGTCTCCGCCTTATTTCCAAAAAACAAATTTTGTACAAACTGTCGCTTGGAACCATATGGTTCTCAGCCCTCGATTTTGAAAGTATTTGTAGTACCTACCCGTCCGTTTTTTATTAAAATTATTACCAGCATCATTCATCAAATTGTGTTTCAAATTATAAAAATTATATTTTATTATAAATGTTTCAATGTTCCAATTATATTTACTTTAAAGATTGAATTCCAGCTTTACTGTCTACGCCATCTAGCGTTAAAAAATAATCTGTATTTATACGGCACAGTTTCATTTGTATTGCGTTGAATAACTTTTATCATAATACCTAATAAGTTTTACAAAACGCCAGTAGGTAGCAGTAGCGTGAAATACTTATAATAATTTATTATTATCTTGTAATGTAATATAAATAAACTCTCTATTGTCTGTCAATATTATTAAATATATATTATTTTTACATAAAACACTTTTATTTTTTATATTTACTTTAAAATTGTAATATTACAATGTTGTCGGGCCACCATTTTGGGGGCGTGTACAAAGTAGATGGACTAAAGTTAACAAAGGACAAGCCGGACAGTTTTCTCGCATTTCTGTTATCCTGATACTACATCTTATCAACAGAAGTTGACTTCACTCTACACCTACTCACTGACAAGCCCACAGAAGTTCCAGTTCCTAGTCATATCGGTATTCACACATCCATAAGAAAGAAGTATGCAAGCAGATAACTTCAATGCTCGATCAAAGAATC